TTTTTTTTTTTTTGATGTGTATCTTTTATGTTTTTTGGCTTTTTGGCCACAAGGCATGTGGGACCTTAGCTTCCCAACCAGGGATTGAACCTGTACACCCTGCATTGGAAGGCAGAGTCTTAACTACTGGACCACCAGGGAAGTCACCATGGTCATGAATTTAAAGCAAAACCAGTCAGGATGCTTGTGTGTTTCTCCAACCACATTCAGCTGCACAGATGCCGTCTTGGAGCAGGTGGAGAGCTGGATTTAACAAATATGAGAATGCAAGAAAGGGATGAGATAGCAAAGGGTGTGCACCAGGGAGTAGTTAAGATGGTTAGCTATAGGGCCTGGCTGGGTAAATAGGGAAGATAAACATGAAGGAAAAGGACCAGTGACAGAGTAAGAAGACCAGCAGATTGTAGACCAGTAAGATTGAAGACTGTGTGGATCACAATAAACTGTGAGAAATTCTGAAAGAGATGGGCATACCAGACCACCTGACCTGCCTCTTGAGAAATCTGTATGCAGGTCAGGAAGCAACAGTTAGAACTGGACATGGAACAACAGACTGGTTCCAAATAGGAAAAGGAGTACGTCAAGGCTGTATATTGTCACTCTGCTTATTTAACTTCTATGCAGAGTACATCATGAGAAACACTGGGCTGGATGAAGCACAAACTGGAATCAAGATTGCTGGGAGAAATATCAATAACCTCAGATATGCAGATGACACCACCCTTATGGCAGAAAGTGAAGAAGAACTAAAGAGCCTCTTGATGAAAGTGAAAGAGGAGAGTGAAGAAGTTGGCTTAAAGCTCAACATTCAGAAAACTAAGATCATGGCATCCAGTCCCATCACTTCATGGCAAATAGATGGCAAAACAGTGGAAACTGGCTGACTATTTTGGGGGGCTCCAAAATCATTGCGGATGGTGATTGCAGTCATGAAATTAAAAGAAGCTTGTTCCTTGGAAGGAAAGTTATGACCAACCTAGATAGCATATTAAAAAGCAGAGACATTACTTTGTCAACAAAGGTCTGTCTAGTCAAGGCTATGATTTTTCCAGTAGTCGTGTATGGATGTGAGAGTTGGACTATAAAGAAAGCTGAGCGCCAAAGAATCGATGCTTTTGAACTGTGGTGTTGGAGAAGACTCTTGAGAATCCCTTGGACTGCAAGGAGGTCCAACCAGTTCATTCTAAAGGAGATCAATCCTGGGTGTTCATTGGAAAGACTGATGTTGAAGCTGAAACTCCAATATTTTGGCCACCTGATGCGGAGAGCTGACTCCTTTGAAAAGACCCTGATGTTGGGAAAGATTGAGTGCAGGAGGAGAAGGGGACGACAGAGGATAAGATGGTTGGATGGCATCACCGACTCAATGGACATGAGTTTGGGTGGACTCTGGGAGCTGCTGATGGACATGGAGGCCTAGTGTGTCACGGGGTTGCAAAGAGTCAGACAGGACTGAAAAACTGAACTGAACAGAAGATTGAAGAATAGTTTGAATCAGAGTCCTTACTAGAAGAGGTGAACTGTGAGAAGTGGGGCTGTTGGAGAGTAGTTCAGTGTTACAATTATCGGTAAAGACCAGGACTGAGAGCCGGGCTACTTAATGAGGAGGCCAAGACTGGTATCAGTTTGCAAACTATACATTACTGAGCTGCAAGGAGGTAAGTTCAGAAATGGAAGGAAATGTTTAGAAACACTACTATGCCATCTAAGCCTATGATCAGTGGACTTGTATTCAGAATGTCTTTGCTTTTTTAAAATCTCATTTGTCTATTCATCTGTTACGTATTTTACAAAAGTAATGGTCTGCAACAGATTAGCTAGAAACAATAACAAAAGATCTGGTCCTCCTTCACAGCTAAAGCACTGCTCTAGTGTACATGACTGGAGAAGGAAATGGCATCCCACTCCAGTACTCTTGCCTAGAAAATCCCATGGACAGAGGAGCCTGGTGGGCTGCAGTCCATGGGATCGCTAAGAGTCAGACACAACTGAGTGACTTGACTTTCACTTTTTACTTTCATGCATTGGAGAAGGAAATGGCAACCCACTCCAGTGTTCTTGCCTGGAGAATCCCAGGGATGGGGGAGCCTGGTGGGCTGCCGTTTATGGGGTCGCACAGAGTCAGACACGACTGAAGCGACTTAGCAGCAGCAGCAGTGTACCTGACTGTCACCTGAGTGTCAGAGGAGAGGGAGGGCAAGACCATCAGAAGAGAGGAGTTGGAAGGACTGGCTCCTTGAATATTGAAGTCGATCATCTCTAGCTTTCCCAGATAGAAGCCACTTGAGTCCGCCACTCCCAGAGGCACCAGTTTCATTGTATTCTGCGTGACCAGTAGAACTCAGAATACTGTGTGAATGGTGCCCTTACGTTGTTCAAGAAGGTGGCCGTTGTTATCTCCATTTTACAGATAAGACAACAAACTCAGGGAAGTGAAATAATTGCCCAAGTCACACAGCTGGTAAAGGAAGGAACCAATGTTTAAACTTGGGTATGTCTGTCATGGGCTCCCCTGGTGGCTCAGTTGGTAAAGAATCCACCTGCAATGCAGGGGGCATGGGTTCGATCCCTGGGTCAGGAAGATCCCTGGAAAAGGAAATGGCAGTCCACTCCAGTAGTCTTACCTGGGAAATCCCAGGGACAGAGGTGCCTGGAAGGCTACATCCATGGGGTTGTAAGAGTTGGACACAACTTAGCGACTAAACCAGCACCAACCACTACCACGACCACCACGTCTGTCATGCCGAAACTGGACTCTGTCCATCCTCCTGCCCCCCTCTGTTCCTTGCTTGCAGTTATGGGGACAGCATAGCCATACACTTCATGAAAAGTGGGGGGAAATGCCTTTAGGGAATGTGTTCTGGTCCATGTGGCCAAGCTGAGCATTCCCATTTCTTTTATAATCACGGCTCGTTACCTCTGCTGTACCAACCCACAACCCACTGCTGTTTACATCCCCGTCTGTCTGGTTGGTCTTTATCAAACTGAGGGTCTAAAGCCCTCAGAAATCCAATATCCAATCTCACCGCAGCATTTCCTGTAGTTTCTGTTCTGGTGCGTTAGTCATTACACATATGTTAGAAGGATCTTCTAAATGATGGTTTATGAATGGTAAGATGATGAGTACTTTTAATACTTTTCTTTTTTTTCCCAAAATTTATGTAATGGAGATGTTACTTTTATATTTTAAATTGTCTTGTTCATATGGAAACTCTCAGAGACCCTCAGGTTTCTAATGAGGGCTCACTCTCCCACTGAGCCTGAGTCCCGGCTGCACTTGGAAGCCTCGGGGTTTTTAGAAAAGGTGGTGTTGGTTGTTTCCCATCCTCCCCAAGTGTGTGATTAAGGAATCAATCTAGCAATGAAACAGCATTAATATCTTAAGGGTTTCCTGGTTTCCTCCATTTCTCAGCTCTCCAATAGGCCTGGGCAAGTACAATGCTACCGTGAATTTATAAAGCTCGTCCATGTGTCCTAGGACCTGTGAACAAAGAGGTTATCTGCTTCTTCTGAAAAACCCTCCGTGGAGCTCTGAGTCTGCATGCTTACATAACTCACAGGGCACAGCATCTGACCTACAGGTTTATGTAGCCAAGGCTGCCTCTGTGAAGCATGGCTTGTGGCACATAGCAGGGCCTGCCACATAGTAGGTACCCACTAAGGATGAGCCAAATAAGTGAATGAATAACTGATGTTCAGTCTGTACAGGTATTTTCATGGTGATGTGGCTAATCTTTCTACCTTAAAAAAGTTACCAGCATAGATGTATATTAATGTATTAATATTTGAAAAGAACTTTAGGACTTACTAAAATAAGACTTATTTCTATATCCAAACAAGAGAAGATCTAGCAGAAATAAAGAACCCACCAAGATAAGCAAATATAACTTGACAGAGTAGGCTATGCTCACTCAGTTTAGTTTTAGATAATAATCAAAATAGGTAATAGGAGCAGAATTTCACTTTGAAAAGTAATACTGCAAATCACAGTTGATGAGGTGGGAAGAGGAGTCATTAAATACTCTAATATGATAAAATGCTAATCATCACAGTTATTAATTGAGAGTAACAGCATCTCTGGTTGGCATCATAAGAATAACTAGAATTTTCAAATACATGTTATTAATTATTGTTATTACATGTTATTACGTTATTATCATTTAGTCTCTACAAGAAGAGACTAAAAGTACGGAAAGGTGAATTTTAAAATATGCCTGAAAACTTGAGAACTCCCAAAGGAAAGTTGGTATTCTTTTCTTCCATCTTTCCAAAGTAGTCATCAATAAGAAATGCAGCTGATATGCCAAGCACTAAGGTTCACATCATTTATCTTATATTTTATATTTACTTACTTATTTTGGCTGTGCTGGGTCTTCATTTTTGTGTGGGCTTTCTCTGGTTGTAGCAAGTAGGGCTACCTTAGTTGCCATTCACAGGCTTCTCATTTCAGAGGCTTCTCCTGATGTAAACCACAGGCTCTAGGCTTGTGAGCTTCAGTAGCTGTGGTGCAAGGGCTTAGTTGCCCCACAGCTTGTGGGATCTTCCCGGACCAGGGATCGAATCTATGTCCTCTGCCTACCAAGGAAGATTTTTAACCATGTAAATCATTTATTTTGTCTAAGTTTGTATTCCAGTAGATGGGGAGCACTTTGCTTTCATTATGTACTTTCATTGATGTTAAGAGTCTGGACTCATTCTAATGATGCTGGTCAAGATAAGATATTTTTCCCTAGTATGTCTACACAAGCCTATAAAAACTAGCAAAAACCTAACTATTGTATTTGAATGGAGAATCTTCCTCTCCTAGATTTGAAGACTAAATAAAATATGGAACAGACAGTTACATCCCTAGTTTTTTTTCCTTATTATTATGCTTTTGAAATAATTTGTATATACCTTTTAAATAATTTCAAGTGCCTCAAAAATAATGTTAATAGCTCAAAATCAAAAGTTTAAAAAAAAACCCTAAGTATAATTTTTAAAATCTTTTTCTTCTCAAGCGTTTTACGATGGGATAATGAGACAGATGTCTCTCAACTGGAAGGACATTTTGACATTGTTATGTGTGCTGACTGGTAAGTACATAAAAATCATAAAACTCCTGTTAGAAAAAAAAAATAGCTTTGCTGGAGTAATTGGGCTGTGCTGCTCTGCTGACGGTGAAGCAGAGTCAACAAATGAGGCACAAAGCCGCCTTAACCTCCGCAAATTAATATTCATCTCCATGTGACAGTTACAAGGTAGTCTTCTATCACACAGTAACTTCTACCACATTATTTCCCAAAGATTGATTTTGAGAAGCATTTCCATTTTCTGGAATTGCCTCTGTTTCATGCTTGACGTATCAGTAAATGGACGACTTAGGCAAATTGCAAATAATTATGGCTCGGGGAGGAATAGTCTGGAGAAAAAGGAGTTTATCAACACAAACAGCTCAATTAGCTTACTTCTTAGGAGAGATCTGACTATTGATATAAGGGAATATATAGATGTATGTGTGTGTGCACACATATACACTCCAGCATATAAACATATCTGTGGAATATCTTTAGGGAAATAGCTTTTCTTGAAATGTATATTTGCTATCTAGTATTTCCATTGTCTTCAATTATGATATTTAATTATACTTAAAACAAGAATTATAAAATTCCATTTTATTGTTATGCAAATAATAATAGTAAAATCTCTGTTAGATGCTTGCCTTTTAAAAATAATTTACATTGATATTTTGTCTTACCTTTTAGCCCAATCTACTTATTGTTAATGAAAGTCTCATCCCCAAGTTACAGGATAAATATGTATCAAACCTTAATAATGATTTCAACTAATCTTATGTATTTTCTTCATGTGTTGAATAATTATTTCAGCATATGAGAAACATGACACTTCACAATTTTTCCTGTTAAGAGTAAGATCTTATTTGTAGTTTTCTAATGACTCAATGGACATGAGTTTGAGTAAACTCCGGGAGTTGGTGATGGACAGGGAAGCCTGGTGTGCTGCGATCCATGGGGTCGCAAAGAGTCGGACATGACTGAGCGACTGAACTGAACTGAATGATTTTTAAAATGACACTATGAATTTGAAGACACAAGATTCTAAAGGAGTTCTCTTCTATTGATAAACCCAAACACAAGACCCATAACCTAGAGAAGATTTTCCTTATGTGAGAATTGAATGAATGGAATGTAATCTCCAGGAAGTCTTTATTAAAATTATTAATATTTAATAAGATTTTTAGTGGGTAAACTCTCTGCCTAAGCCCCTGAGATTAGATTTATTTTCTGTTTTCTCCAGAAAAGCACTTCTCAGTGAAAATTAAATATTTTCTTCCATTTTTAGTTGAGTTTTTCATGGCCATTTTAGTCTCTCTGTACCCAATTTCAGAAAGCCTTTTTCCAGAAAAAGGGAGAACCAGATTTCTGACTAATCATTGATATTGTGTCTCAATATTACAGCCCTCATCTAATCAAAAATAAGGAGCTAAAACCTCACCATATGATTTGAGCAAGTAATTTAGTAAATGCCTTTCCTCACCAAATATGAGAAAGGATCCTCCAGGTTTCATTGCACAGATGAAGATAATGCTGGCAGGATTAGATCAGATTAAGTATGAAAGTCAGATCAGAGAGCAGCAGAGAGAGGGAAGGAGGGCAGGATCTTCTTGGAGATTTAGACAAGGGTCGCCCACTGATGGGCCCTGATTATGTGGGGAAAGTCAGGTCTGGCCAAGAGATTTCAAGTTAAATGTGTCCTTTGCACAAATATCAAAACAGCCTGGCTTTGTCATACCTTGTATTATGACACTCACACCATGTCATCCTATTTGTACCAGAGAGACAAGCAGAGGAAGTAAGATTCAAGCTCTTTTCTGATTAATGTTCTCAGGTTAAAAATAGCCACACAACATGTTTGAAAAATAGTCTTTTTTCCCCTAGCCAACAACAAGATCCTGTACAACCAACATACATAATGCATATTCAGTTAAGGCTTTCATTCCAAATACATTATATCATAATATGATGTAATACATACATACATACACATACATACCATATACATATATGCACAGTGAGTAACTATTGAGAATTTATGTATTCAGATGAACCAAATACACCAAGTTTCCTTTTATAAATGGTTTTTTCCTATGCATGAATTGTTTTTTTTCCCTCCTGGTGCTGTCAGTGCTGGAATGTCAGGCGGTTTATAATTTCCCATTTGTAAATGTGAAACATTAAGCTGCTCTCACTGTGATGCTGATATTATTTCCAAAAGGAATGCTTTGGAAGTGGTCTGTCTTCATACTCACAGAGATGGGTACGCTGTTTAGAAACTTAAAAAGTACAGTGATGTTCATAATATACATGTTGTGCCTATAGCAAGGAAGCCCAGGACTCCAGGAGTTCTTTATGTCTTGTAGGGTTGATGTTTCTCTGTCAGAGTTATTACACAGATGCTGCTTCTAGGGACAGTCAGGCAGGCAGACCAGGCTGCTTTTTTTTTTTTTCGAAGAATGTCACAGGAGGAAAAGAAAGCTCTCTTTAGTCACTACCTCTAAGATGAAACCTGAAATAGTCGGTGCCAGAAATAGGTGCCACACATAAATAGATGACGTTAAGTCTCACACCAACCTCGACTCATTGTCAGTCAATGAGATCTGGATTAGGCCACAGGAATATGAAGCAAGAGTTGGAGTTCAAATATTAGGTACATGGATTAAATTCTTACTGAAGCATTGCCAGCAAGGGTGGCATTGTCTGATTCCCTGAATAGCTAACCAGTGGTACCGCTTGATCCCATTTACATGAAAACAAGCTCTATTCACAAACCTATTCCAAACCCACATTGTGGTTCAAGTAAAATGCACATGATTACGAGTGGTGATATGTTTATGTTCTTAAATCATTCATATATTCATATATTTACATTCAAACATTCATAAACCTGTAGGCAATGGGGGGAATAACTTATTTCCCAGAAGAGACAGTCTCTTAGTTCACATCTAAATTTAGTAGCTCAACTAGATTATAAAATAAAGAGGCAACTGAAAGCTAGTCATTATTTCACCATTCAGCATTTTTGACAATGAAATATAGTTTCATGGTTCAACAGTTCCTAAGTAACTTGTAAAATGTCAACTTTGAAATAAACAGAAAGAAAAAAAATCAAGGTAACAGTCATACCTGCAAAAGGATGCTGTTGACAAACATCAAAATATTAGAATATTTAACCGCAGGTGTAGGAAAAAAAAAAGAACCCTCCTATTAAGTTCCTTGGTTGACTAGTTTAATGTTGAATTTAATATGAGTTCCTTTCTGCTGGAATGCAGTCCACCCCTGTCCTTGCTGAGTTTAGAATAGCGAGTGATTGTTAATTTTAAACCTGCCTTTCCAGACTTCTGTTCAATCACAATGATCTGAGAGTCTGGTAGGAAGATGTTTTTTTAATCCAATGAACAATTTCATTCAGTGTTTGATGGCTTTCCAGTTTATTGTAGCTCTGCAAAAATAAAAATGATTCTGTAAATTTGAAGGAAAAAAAAAGAGTCCATACATGTGGATTCTCTAAAGGCTTGCAGAGCAAGTCTAAAATGCCACCCTCAACTGGACGCACGGAGCTCTGTCTGTAGGATGGTGAACCACATCTGCCTGCCTGCAGCCTGACACTTTGGGAAGAAATGTGGGAAGGTTCATCACCTCATTTGCTCTCCCAGCATTTTCACACCAGCTGTATACAGTGGATTGTTTCTATGTTCTATCCTTTTTACTTTAAATGATGACAAGTTTGGGTTTTGTGAAGAAAAATTGTTTTTCTCAAAATAGGCTCTAGGATTTCTTTGTTTTCTTCCAGATGCTCTGATCATAGATAGTTCTAAATCACAACTCATAGACCTTTCCACCTGAAAAGATCTTTAGCCCTCTGACCTCACACCTGAGGAAACTCAGTCCTGGAGAAGATGGACAGATTGTCAGAGATCTGGCACCTAAGGGGTGGCGCCACACGGGATTAGAATATGGCTGCCCCAGCAGTCAGTCGCTAAAGACTGAGAGAGGCTATTCGGTCTGCTGAAAGTTAAATCTAAAACAGTGAACTGGAGCACATTTCACCTTGAAAATTATACAGAGGTCTTCTTCTCTGAGAATACTGACAGAAATGCCTCCTTGTTCTCTGTACTAATTAATTTCCTTCTGCCAGGAGATGAAGATGCTCTGTGCTCTGCAGAAAACCCTGACTGATTCTAAGGGAGGCAATGAAAATGGCCTGGCACCTTCCCTTTGTCCTATAATCTATGATTCAGATCAATGGGACAAAGCAAGCGTTGATTCCACAAGTGAATTATAGAGAGGGGTGTGTGTGTGTGTGTGTTTAATGGCCAAACTAGACTGATTGTCAATGTATTTTGATCAGTAACTGAAGGGAGAGTTAAAATGGTATCTCCATCCCAATCACTGACCCACTCAACCTTTTTTTAATAGATCCACTTAAGCTACTGCTGTTCTCTGAGCCCATTAGGACTTATTTAAGGGGTGAATTTTCAGGAGATTATATATCACTCCCACTAAAGCACATTGAAATTGCTCATAGGATGTATCCTACAAAGCGTTATAAATTCTGCACCAGAGCTAACTAGAAAAGTGAGCTTGCTTGGAATAAAGACCTATTAGAGAACTATAAGAATTACTTTTGGGGAATTTGACTTGGAATGATGGAGTAGACAGAATTAGCTTTCAAATAACTGTGTTTTGAATGTGTGCTTTGTGTTAAGCTGCATTTTCTAGTGAGCTGTGATGTTAATATCTTTTTCACCATTGCCAATAGTAAATAGAAGTAGTATTTTATAAGGCTATGTTTTTTTATTGAAGTATAGTTAATTTACAATGTTTTCTTAGTTTCAAGTATACAGCAAAGTGATTCAGATATCTGGCAGGCTGCAATCCATAGGGTCACACAGAGTCTTAACATGACTGAAGCAACTAAGCAGCGTGTGTGTGTGTGTGTGTGTGTGTGTGTGTGTGTGTATTCTTTTTTCATATTCTTTTCCATTATAGTTTATTATAGCCTTCTCTAGCGACTAAGATGGTAAAGAATCTGCCTGCAATGCAGGAGACCTGGGTTCAGTCCCTGGGTCAGGATGATTCCCCTGGAGAAGGGAATGGCTACCCACTCCAGTACTCCTGCCTGGAGAATTCTGTGGACAGAGGAGCCTGGTGGGCTGTCTCCATGGGGGTCGCAAAGAGTCAGACACTACTGAGCAGCTAACACTTCTCCTCTTTCATAGGTTATTACAAGATATAGAGTATAATTCCCTGTGCTACACGTTAAGTCCTTGTTGTTCACCTACTTTATATATATGTATATGTTAATTCCAAACTCCTAATTTATCTTCCATTCCCTGTATAAGGTTATGTTTTAAGCTCAGCTTTTAAGTTGTTAATTATTTATCTCTAACAGTCTTACCAACTCTTAGGATGCACAGGTATAAACTGGGAATGGTCTTTTGCTTCGTGCTCTGTGTCCCAACTAGCCAGGCCTCCTGTGGACTCAAGTAACTGATAGAGGTATTTAAATAGAATGCTTAATTATTAACATTTAAGGTAGTATTATTGTTTCTTCCCTGGGCTCAGTGGTAAAGAATATACCTGCCAAGCAGGAGACATGGGTTCAATCCCTGGGTCAGGAAAACCCCCTAGAGAAGGAAATGGCAACCCACTCTAGTATTCTTGCCTAGGAAATCTCATGGACAGAGGAGCCTGGTGGGCTACAGTCCATGGGGTTGCAAAAGAGTTGGACACAGCTTAGTGACTAAACGACAACAACAACAGATGCAAGATAGTATTACCACACTAAAGAATAAGGTATAAAGGCCTGAAGAGAAAATTTCAAAACACTTAAATACAATTCGACTCCTTTCTTACTGACCCTTACTTGTTATTAACCGAATTAATATGACTAAAACACAAACTTCTGTAGCATTCAAATTAGACACATTTTGTGCTCTAAGATTTAAATGCATAGTTTTCTGGAACAGTAAGAAATTTTCCCATATAATAATCAGCCTATCCTGATTGATACATGGGTTTCCATTCTAGAGATGATTTCTAGTTCACCTTAAGAGGATTCTTTTTCCATTGCTCAAAGCAGCATTTTATAGAAGAAAGTGAAAGTTAAGTTGCTCAGTCAGGTCCGACTCTTTGCGACCCTGTGGACTGTAGCCTACCAGGCTTCTCCATCCATTGGATTTTCCAGGCAAGAATACTGGAGTGGGTTGCCATTTCCTTCTCCAGGGAATCTTCCCAACCCAGGGATTGAACCCAGGTCTCCTGCATTGCAGACAGATGCTTTACCCTCTGAGCCACTTAGAACTGACTTTTATAGAAGAAACTCCCACTAAGCATGTCATGGTGAAGCCCAAGTTCTGTCTTCTTGGAAGTATCTCATCAGCCACTCTCCCCACTCATCTTAAGTGAGAGAATTAGGAGAGAACCTGGTCTGGTGAAACATCCTGCCTAAATGCTGATTCCTCTGTAGCATGACCAGTGAAGGAGTATGTACAAACAGTTTTAGGTGCACTAAAACTCACCCTGCGTAAGCCCCTCCATTTCAAAGACTGTGTTGATCTGCTAGTAAAGTGAATAGTGAAAGTGACAGTCACTCAGTCATGTCTGACTCTTTGCAACCCCATGGACTGTAGCCTGCCAGGCTCCTCTGTCCATGGAATTCTCCAGGCAAGGATACTGGAGTGGCTTCCCATTCCCTTCTCCAGGGAATCTTCCCAAACCAGGGATTGAACCCAGGTCTCCCGCACTGCAGGCAGATTCTATACTGTCTGAGCCACCAGGGAAACCCAAAATATGAAGATGGAGGTACTGGGGATTGAACCCAAGATCTCATGCATGCTAAGCCTGTACTCTACCACTGAGCCATACCCCAGGCCTGCCAATAAGTAACTATTCACTGAGCACCTTCTCTGTGCGTAAGCTGGGCCAGAGCTAGTGATACAGAAATGCATACAGACTGGAAGCTCCTTGAGGATGGGAATTTTGTCTTATTCACAGCTTATCTCCATGGCCTGAAGCAGCTCCTAGTATATAGCAGGTTATCGACAGATATTGAATCCAGAGTTGCTATGGTCTCTGGGATGCTTTGCCTAACCCTGGTCTTTATTTATTACTAAGTCACTGGTTGGAACTAACCTTTAGGGACTGTTGCTGTTATTAGTTACTAAAAACCATCACTACCTGAGGTCTTTTCTATGGTCAGTGTGTAATAGGGCCAGTGGTTTGATTTTGAAGGATGGCTTCACAGCACCTCCGGTGGGCAGAGGACCCATGTTTGCAGAGACAAGTGTTGGGAGAACTTCATCTCCACCAGATGACTCCCCCAAACAGCAGCTTCGAAACTGCCCATTGCACACTAGCACATGGTCCAGTCACGTGTGAATTTTGACCTATCACATGTTGATGACTTGGCTTTGATTGGATAACCCTGACCACAGTATCTTTTTTATTATTAGTATTCTAGTGAGATACTTGAATGGAAGGAAATAATTTCTGTCTTTTAGTGTTGAGTAAACATATGTAATTAGCCTTGATCTCCATTAGTATCATTAGACTTGAAAACCCAGTTTAATCTGGATTCTGCTGTCTTCTCAATGTCAGCCTGTTTCTGGACCAGTACAGAGCCAGCCTTGTTGATGCAATAAAGAGATTACTCCAGCCCAGGGTAAGTATATTTCTATTTTCTCCTGAACACTGGCTTCAGAATAATTAGTCTGTGCACAAAGATGGAAAGAGTAATGGAATGGCAGGATTAATGTCATGTAATACTTTAATACTTATTATGTCCAACTTCAATTGAGTCTTCTGATCTATCAGATTCTTTCCTAATCATAACTAGGGAACTTCTTACCGTTGGCCTTCTGATAAGCAACACAGTGGGTAGTAAAATAAATGAAACTGCTTCAAAGATAGTGTGAGATTATTTTTATCAAAGAATTTCTTGAGTCTTTCCCTTTGATAACAATATCTTCATATTAAAGTAGAAGTATGATATTGAAAGTTTTCTGTTGACTTCTGTCATTTTAAATCCCTTCAATGGTAACCTTTGTCATTGGGTATTTATTTATTGCAAAAGAATATTTTTTCTTTTTATTTCTGTTTCTATTAAAGAAAGGGACTTCAGATGAATCTATCTATTAAAAGTTCTTTGCTTTAAAAGGAAACCATTATTTACATATTATAAACATTAGGTCACAATGAAGCCAAGCATGGCATAAAATATTGTGCACATTTTTACATTTATATATCCATTTATGCCTGTGAGTAAATTACAGAGTTTGTATCCACTCTTATTTTGCTGGGCTGTTATACTAAGCTAGGAGGTCCTACAGCCTAAACGGAGAGTTAATATACATCTATTTAAAGAAAGAAAACAAGTTTAAAGCTCATACATTAAAAAAAAAATCTTATAACTATTTAAGACTCTTGCTGTGCCATAGGAATTTAGAATAGGTTAACAGTGTTAATGTAGCCTAAGATAGAAACTCAACATTTACCTGAGAAAGGACTATAGTGTGTGTGTGTGTAAAGTATTTTCTAAAGTTTTGTCTTTTCTTTTAAAAAAGAAGGTTTGCTCTAGTCTTCTGACCTTAGTTAGACTTTTCGGCTAATACCTTTCAATCTTTCTCTTATATCTTTTCTACATTGAAGATTCCCAGAGCAATTTGATAATCATCCTTTGCCTTACATTGTGCTTTTTATTTTGTTATCTCTATATAGCTCAGAAACTTTAACTAGGCCTCTCAGAGGAGTAACCACAGCTTTGTAAGTGGTAATCAATTAAATTAAATTGGCTTCTCAATTCCCCTTGTGAGGTGGGGAGCAGCTCTAGAGGCAAAGAAGGGGAACGCTCCAAGCCGTTGATGACAGCTGTCGTGGTTGAGTGAGCAGCCCAAGGTGAGGGCAAAGAAGGAACTGGGGGCCTCTTCATCTTCCCATTAGCCTTGGGTGATTCTCACGAGCATTTGCAAGATCAGGATTTTCAGAAAGGACACCGAGATTCTTGGATATAAGGCTTCTGGGAACATCTGTCATGCAAAAACACAATGCTTTCAAAGACTCCTGGATCTCACAGTGCACAAACAGTATTTCACTCATCACCAACACCCCCTTCAGAGCCTATCTGTGACAAATACTCCATTTTGCTGGTTGCAAATAGGAAAAGGAGTATGTCAAGGCTGTATATTGTCACCCTGCTTATTTAACTTCTATGCAGAGTACACCATGAGAAACACTGGGCTGGATGAAGCACAAGCTGAAATCAAGATTGCCAGGAGAATTATCAATAACCTCAGATATGCAGATGACACCACCCTTATGGCAGAAAGTGAAGAAGAACTAAAGAGCCTCTTGATGAAAGTGAAAGAGGAGAGTGAAGAAGTTGGCTTAAAGCTCAACATTCAGAAAACTAAGATCATGGCATCCGGTCCCATCACTTCATGGCAAATAGATGGGGAAACAGTGGCTGATTTTGTTTTTTGGGGCTCCAAAATCATTGCGGATGGTGAGTGCAGTCATGAAATTAAAAGACGCTTACTCCTTGGAAGGAAAGTTATGACCAACCTAGACGGCATATTAAAAAACAGACATTACTTTGCCAACAAAGGTCCGTCTAGTCAAGGCTGTGGTTTTTCCAATAATCATGTATGGATGTGAGAGTTGGACTAAAAGCTGAGCGCCAAAGAATGGATGCTTTTGAACTGTGGTGTTGGAGAAGACTCTTGAGAGTCCCTTGGACTGCAAGGAGATCCAACCAGTCCATTCTAAAGGAGACAGTCCTGGGTGTTCATTGGAGGGACTGATGTTGAAGCTGAAACTCCAATATTTTGGCCACCTGATGTGAAGAGATGATTCATTTGAAAAGATCTTGATGTTGGGAAAGATGAAGGCAGGAGGAGAAGGGGATGACAGAGGATGAGATGGTTAGATGCCATCACCGACTCAATGGACATGAGTTTGGGTGGACTCTGGGAGTTGGTGATGGACAGGAAGGCCTGGTGTGCTGCGGTTCATGGGGTTGCAAAGAGTCGGACACGACTGAGTGACTGAACTGAACTCCATTTTGTAGCAGATTTGCCTGGTTTACATAGAAAGTGAAAGTGAAGTAGCTCAGTCGTGTCCAGTTCTTTGCAACTCCATGGACTGTAGCCTACCAGGCTCCTCCATCCATGGCAGACGCTTTCCCATCTGAGCCACCAGGGAAGCTCTGCAGAAGAAGGCATTACATAGTTTACATCGGATTCATAGGTTTACATAGGATCTATGATCTATTGTAAATCATGTGAATGATTCACATGATTTACAATAGGAAACTGCCCAAGCTATGAATAGACCTAAATGGAGATTGAACTGGAACGTCTAGTAGCTCTCCTATACCCTCTATTAAACTCTGAATGATGCTCCTCCTTGTCTGAAGTATGGCTCCATGCAGCAGCCTCCTCAGAGGACAGACATCAGCACTCCTACTGAAGCGGATGCTCACCCTTAACTGGGAGGATAAGACCCAGCCCTAGAGTGAATGGTGCTTACTTATGCTCTGTGTAGAGCTGGGGAAGCCAGATCAAAGGGGCCTGCATCATGGGCTTCCCTGGTGGCTGGCTCAGTGGTAAAGAATCCGCTTGCCAGTGCAGGAGACATGGGTTTGATCCCTGGCCCATGAAGATCCTACGGGCCGCAGAGAAACTAAGTCCACGTGCCACAACCATTGAGCCTGTGCTCTGGAGCCCAGGAGCTGCAGGTACTGAACCCTGGGCACTCTAGAACCCATGCTCTGCAACAGGAGAAGCCACCACAATGAGAAGCCAGTGCATTGCAACTGGAGCGTAGCCCCGGCTCCCTGCAACTAGAGAAAAGCCCACGCAGCAACAAAGACCCAGCACAGCCCAAAAAATAAATAAACAAACAAATATTCTTAAACATCTAACTTAATTAAAAAACAACAACACCAAAGGGGCCCACATCAAAATGCAGCATAAGAAATGAGAGGAGGGGCGCTCACTTAGGCCCCTCCTATCCTGCAGCACTGCTTGGACTGACAAGTATTCCAGCCTAAGAGGTCAGGAGTCCACCATGAGGGGGAAATCCCAGTCATGGATGGAACATGGATATACTGAAGTTCCCACCCAGGAATCTCACTCCACTGAGAGGTCTGGGGCAGCAGGGCCTTTGCGCTCCTGGGGACTCTACCCAGATGAACCCAGGAAGAGCCACAAGGACGCAGCAGGGAACCACAACAGCTCTGTTTCCTGTGCCAGGGGGCTGGAAGGGTGCCCAGAACATGGGGCCACCTGGAGAAAAACTGCTCTTCTCCTTGCCTCTCAGCGCTGCTGTCCTACTTCCAAAGGACTTCCCCCCGCCCCTCACAGTGTGTGTGTCATGGGCATCACAGTCCAAGACCAAGATAACATTAAAGGCTTTATCCCATGACAATTAGAGCTGCTTTTAATGGTTTCTTGAGCCCAGTCCACTCCTCCATGGTTTTGTGGCCCAGAGGCTGAAGGTACTGTAACAGGCCCACAGAGAAACAAATTGGGCAGCTGCATTGGTGGGTCCTGAGCTCTTAGTAATTCAAGGGCTCAATAGACTCAGTGGAGATGAAACAAGTCCTCAGGGTGCTCAGCCAAAGCTGCACTTCGGCCAAACACTTTGAATTCATAGGTGGGCCCCAGTTTCCGAGGGTAAACTATCAGTAGATAGACCCAGAAATGTCTGTGTACAAAACCCAAGTTGTTCTTACTATTGAGCCACTTACTAGATTCATCTCTCAGAGCCTCAGTTTCTCATCTGTAAAATGAGGTGGAAACAAGTCAATGCATTGGAAGGTTTAGCACATAACTGACTCTGAATCATTATGTGTTCAGTCTTGTTGCCTTGAAGAACTAGAGGGACTTTCTAGCCATGATGGGTATAGAATACACAGGGCTGTTGTCAAAAACTGTCCTCAGACAAATGCCTGGCGGGGGGGGGATTTTTTTTTCTTGAACTTGGACTTGGATGATGTTTACACATAACTAGGCCTGCTGTATCTCCCTGCACCCGTGTCCTACTTGCCTTCTGCAGGCTCTGCAGAAGGTCCGGAGGATTGTCTACCTGGATGAAGATGACACTTTTTACTACAGGCGCCCCCATCAAGTGAGGGGAGAGAAATTCCTACTAGATGGCCAGGATGAAATCATTGCAACATGGAGATTCAAGTGTCAACCTCTGTGTAGAAATGGATTCTGCCATTACTGGGGAGTGTGATTCCTTGAGTTCTAGCTAAGGCATATCTGCTGTCTGGAGTCAGAGGATCCAGAAGCAAAGAAAGTAGGTGGAAGGGAGGAGTTTCCCTGCTTTTCACTTTTTATAATGGGGGTCATAAATGTGGGGGTACAGGCCCCCATAGAAAACTTAGCCACCAGAGTGGGTTCCTGGCTTGACCCAGGAGCAATGTCAAATCACAGAGCTAAGCCTGGATCCCTGGGCAGACAGGCACCTATGCCTGGAAAGTCATTACAGGAAGCCCCAAATGTCAGTAAGAAATGATCATTGCTTACTCCAGGTGGAAACTTTCCTCTGCTTACTGGTTGAGAGAAGCTGTAAAAACATCTGACCCCTGCCAGAATGCTACAGGGACTCTCTAGCAGACTTAAAAGATGACAAGAAAAAATTTTAAAAAGAAATTAC